AATAGAAAAAACATATTCATTTCTTAAACCGTATTTTCATACATCGAAAACAAATTCCGTCCATCGAAACCAAAAGCCATTCTGTTCCAAAAAATAAATTTTCATTTCACGTTTTGCTTTGGCTGGCGTTGTAGTCTTTTTTATCTCGTTTTTGTCAGCTTTCCTAAATTTAATTTTCTAAAGTCCTGACACAGATTTTTGTTCTTTGTATTGAGTTAGGTGATACTGAAATTTTTAAAACTTTTCTTTTGTTCATGAATGCTTTTGCTCATATTTTTTTTTTAAATGTTCACTAAATTTTCTCGAATACAATTAGTCTTTTTTTTATTTTATTAAAAATCGGAATATTACTTTTTACAAACAAAAAATTACCACTGATATAATAACTTCATATATACTTCGTACATTTTTTTTTACCATCTGTTCCAGACCATTAAACCGCACAAAGAATTTTGAAGAATACACTCATTAAAAAAATATTTTAAATAATGTGTGCTAGTCTATTTTAAAGTTAGAATATTTTAACCATTTTAAAATTTATTCTGTCATTGGTGTTTCCAAAAATTGTTTTTTTTTCAAGTAACTTTAGTTTTTGTTTTAATTAAACGTTTCATGATCAAAAAAAAAAAAGATAATCGATTGCTGAATTTTCTTTCCTTTATTTAAGGCCTGCCTTCAAAAAAAAAAAAAAGAAAAAAAAGGAAAAAGAAAAAAAAAACTTTGCCTTGTACGATATGAACTAGATGGGTAAGAAAGCATCTCTTGTTTACCCCTATCTTTCTATGGGATCAAAATGTATACTTCAGATTCGGAAAGTTTGTTTTACGACTCGTTTCGATTTTATTCGTTTGTTCAGATAAACGCGTTTAAAACTTAAAATGAATTTTTATGTACTATTGTACTATTCAATAAGATGTAATGAAATCGCTTTTGGCACAAATAAAATCAAGTTTCTTTTAAGGATATATTTTTAAAGAAATATTTTTAAAGAAATATTTAGAGGGAGGAAAATAAATGTATGCAAAGCAGATATAGAGCTGGATACGACATATTTTTCAATCTGAATCTGCGTGCTCTGTTTTCTGAATTCAGATTCGGTGTGATTATTCAGATTTTCACATACCAGAATGCAATCATGATGGTTTGAGGAGTTGATCTGAAATATGCTAATTAGTTATTGAAGTCGATAAGTTTTGAAATGACATGAAACACAAAAACGCACTTCCTCTGAATAAACGTATTATAATTCCAAATGAATAATTCCCGACGAATTATAATTCCAAAATTTTCACAATAAAAGGGATAGTCACGATCTTGGAAATTTGGTCCTGATTCTTTTATTAGGAGATTGGGCAAAAGTTTGAACCCCTCAATGTTAATTTTAATTTTTTGTATTTTACTATATCTCGAAAACTTTTTAAGGGGATTTAGAAAAAAAACTTTCACACAATTGCAAAATTACTTTACTCAGAGATAATTTAATGCAAAAAATAATTTTTTTTATAATTATATAATTTATGAATAATTTATTAATATTTAATTAAAAATTTTTTTATATATATTATTCAAAGGAAGAACGTTTTCGTGTTCGATTTCGTAACTTAAAATACAGTCTGCAATAGCCAATTAGCAAATTTAAGATAAAATTCTCGAACAATTAAGATTGAGTCTTAAGTGCGAGAAAATCCTATCATGAGATTAAAAGCTGTTACGGAGGCTTCGGTTCATTTTTTGTGCAATATACAGTGTTCGTTAAAAAGCTTTAAATAACCTATTTAGAAATCTTGTCAAAAAGGAAGTGAAAACAGCATACTTATTAGGGGTTACAATTAATATTCGAAATTAGGAATTAGAAAACAACAAAAATGTAACGCAGCAATTTTGAGGAACACGTGACTTTAAACTTAAAAACCAGTTTGATTGTCAAAAGAAACGGAGAAGAGTTAAAAAGCAGCTATTAAAATCACTTCCTTACTTTATTACGCAATCATATTGCTTTTATAATTGAAGATATTATACCACTGATTATTTAGCTAAAGTCGATGTTGAGTTTTTGTTTACATTTTAACTTTTGATGAGCAATGCATGTACTTTTCCAAGCAGGATTATAAAATGTGACGATTACCAAGCTTTGTACATATATCCATAATCAAATTCATTATTGTTATTACAATGTTATTTTTATTACAACTGTCAATGAATTATTATTTTTTTATAAATAACACAATAGTTACTTAATTGCATAAATGCTTCCTTAAATACCTTCCAGTATTGTTGTTTTTGTGCAATAGTAAAGGAATAAACTCGATTCTTTAGAAATCAAAACAAAATTTATTATATTTTGTCGAAAGTGAAACAGACTATATTACAGGCAGCTTGGTGAAATCCTTGAATGGAATAAAAAGGTTTGGTTATCATTTTGTTGAACCAAAGGTAGACAGAAGTTATATAGAAATAAATGTATTTTTGTTTACACTCATTAGATATCTCTTTGCTTTCATGAGTTTCCATCTTTCCAGAAAGCAATCTTACAATAAAAAAATGTTAGTCACGTTATCACTTAAAAATTATATATAATCTAAAGATCCAATAGTCTTATTTTAAAAGTTAACACTTCATGTATCTCATGCATTAGTATCAATTCTTTTTTTAAAAAAAAAGCTTTTTGAAAATTAAATACAATTTTTTAAATTTATGAATAAGTAAATAAATTAATAAAATAAAAAAATCAGTACTTAACAGTAAGTATGCAAAATTTGCAGGTTTTTAGATATACAATATTCATCTGACACAATAAAGAATTATAAATAGTGATTTGAATATTTAAGTACAATTACAATAAACATAACAACATAAAAGTAAATACAATTTTTACTATTATTACAATTTCTTTTATGAAATTTATTAATTGTCTCTAACAAAAAATGGGATAAAAGTAATGCAAAATGTTTAAATATATCAAATATAGTGAATTATTAATTTGTAACGGAAAATTAAATTGTTAAATACACTTTTGCTTTGTGATTTAAGTTCTGATTTTATTAAACAATTTACAATCCCCCCCCCCAAAAAAAAATAAGACAGATTAAAAAATAACATCTAAGAAAAAAAATTGAAAGTGAAAATTAACCTCTTTCTTTGTTTCTTCATTAAGGAATATTAACTAAAATAATTTAGATTATTATGATTATTTTAGTTATGTTATAATTTGAGCAAACATCCAACCGTGCACAAAGCGTGTAGAATTATTTATATTTATAAAAATATCGAATTTTATGCATGGGCTCATTATAAAAGTTTGCAGAGAACTTTATCTTTCGTTCGTAAATTATTCGTAAATTATTATTCGTTAAACGCTTTTGTTTAACGAATTATGTACAAAATAAGATAAATTTAAATATCGTAATTATTACTTTTTGGCACATCATTTACGCATAATAAGAATAAGCTTCATTTGATATGATCATGTGACACTCTAATTCTATTTTTATCATCGGAAAAAAACCCATTAAAAGAAGAGAAAGTTTAATTTTCATTATTTTAATTTCTAAATATGCCTTAAAAATTGGTGGTTTATAGTTAGAAATATATTAAAAAAGTTATTAGTACATAATTAGCTTCTGCATTATCCGCTAATGTAATAACGTTTTGATTGTAATTATATACACAGTCCAGTCACATTAATGTGACCACCAACAACTTTCGACGTCAAAGTGAAATAGCCAATCGCAGAGTGTAGGTGGCAGCACATTACAGTGTAGTGTATATATTGGATGTCCTAGGGCATNTGTGTAGATGTAATTATTTTATTACATTCATTGGTAAATGAAGTAAGGACTATTTATTTTTTAGAAACCAAACATAGTTTTTCTATTTCATATTTTGAATCTGTTTCCTTACGAAACAATTAAAGATATACGATGAAAAATGCATATTTTTAATTAAATATATTTCTGAATTTGTGAGTAAAATATTTGAAATAAAAAATTTTATACTTTCAGTTTTCCAATTCATATGCATAAGCGTTCTTGTTTATTACCAATACGCTTTCATTCATACGTTTGATTTGATTTAATGCAACTTATAATTATTAATTACTGATTGAAACTAAACTTTCAACCTATCTCTTTTGTAAATTCGTAGAAAATATAGGCAAGATATATTATAATAGAAAGATCTCAATAATTTCAAACTTTAATGGAATTTTTTTTCTTCTCGTTCATAAAAAAAAGGTGGATTTCAGTTACTAATAATCTAATGTAATTCATTTTCAATGTTTAATAAGCTTTTAAAGAAAGAAATAATAATTTTTTATTTTTAAAATAACTTGATGTAGTAATGTGTATTAAACAAAAGTTTAGCATGCTTATGAAGGAATGAATAAATAAGTGATAAAACATACAGACAACTTGGGGAAGCTACCATTTTTAAAACTGACTGAAAAATCATAAAAAAATCTAATCTTATAAATACTACCAATGAACCTAAAATTTATAAAATAACTTAAATGCTTTTATACAAATTTAAAACAACTTTTGGTGGTGTATCTCCATCATCACAGCTATAACCTTGCGTTTGATTGCCTAATACAGTTTTTTTTTGGCGAAATATTTCTTGTCAAAGATTTCTTTTCTCCCGCCAAATAAATGTGTGTCAAATGATTTACTGTCCAATCATCTCAAGTCATGGAATTATTTTAGGCTAAGAGACAGAATTTTAAAGACATCTTTTCTGCTTCGAAGCGGTCTACTTCCTGTTGTACTTCGCACTTTCTTCATTTTTTTCCAGCTCTTGTATCACTTTACAGCTCCTTTTTAATTTCTTTCAGCTCTTCCATAATTTTAAATATTTTTTTTTAAAAATTTGAACATTCTCCAAGAGCTAAATACACAAAGGGAATTGCCAATGCCAATTGGCAAAGGGCACGTACCTCTACCCTTTTGCATTCCACGAGGAAGATTTGTAAATTTCACTTCCAGAAACAGGAATGAAATGAGTGAAAAGGAATGTTGAATCAGTAAAAAAAAAAAAAAATCCTCATAAATATTCAACGATATCACACTTTACCGAAGGATAGGAGCTGTACAGTGGCGTTGATTCGTCATCATTGGGAGATTTTCGATTGTTCATAATATGACTTATGTAGGGAATGAGGGGCAAAAGCCCTGCGTCGGTCCTGCGATTGTGAATCACTGATACTTGGGCTCCACCGGGTGGCCCAGTGGAGCCATAACTTGTCCGTCTCGTTGTGTCTCTCAAGGCTCCCAGGCTCTTCGCTCTTCTTCTCACATCTGCTCGCAATCCAGCCGATCTTAGAGCGTTTGTGTCACTATCTGCAAAAGAAAATGGTATTCATATGTGAAGATAAAGGGTAATCTCCATTTCACTGTGGGTCAGAAGACCATGATCTTTGGCCAAAAGTCAAAAATTAAATTTTCAACTAAAATATGTGTGGGCAGTTTTAATATAGCCCAAATTAAGTATTCATAATCATTCCAATCATTCTATTTACTTTTTGGACCTACAGGAGTACAATGTAGTGAAAAATAAGTTTAAAAAAAATTTTTTTAATGTAACTTTTAAATTTTTATTTCAGAAATATCTATAGGAATTTCACCTTACTGTTACATTTTTATCAGAGTAATTAGTCTGAAATTCTAGCATAATTTTTCAATTTGTTGGATTAGTTAATACTCTTGACAAATTTATAGTTTATATCTTATCATTTGATATTTTACAATGTTTGAATGACTTTCGAAACTTAATTCCAAAAAGCTCCACGAGGTAATTAGCAAAACTTTTTTTTGTTGTCTTCTTTGATGTTTCTTCTTTCGAAAAAACCTGCCCCATTTTGCCCGTATTGCAAAGGAGGACTAAATATACCGAAAAACAAAAATTATGTTTTTTTTCATGTTTTCGAGTTATTTTGTAATTAATTCGCGTTATTTTGTAATATTACTTCGGAAATATAATTTGCTGTTAATTTTTAATATAAAATTACGAAAATTATTATATTTTCATTGCTATATTTAATTATTTAAATGTTCTATATTTTTTTTTATTTTTGCTCGCCATATTTCAGCCGCCATTTTGTTTTTTTTGTGTATTTTTAATGTATTTCAAAATTTCAACTATGACTTCAATTTACCCGCACATAAAAACCCCCAAATTTTACCGAAATACTAATTTTAGCCACGAAACCTTGGATGCTGGCCCACTGTGCATTCTTCACAAAAACAACGATTGAATTGATATTTGTTACATTTTGAGGGTTACTAAGTTTTGAATAATCAATAACCAGTGCTTGCGCTAAGCCATCTTGTTGAGTGCGATAAAATCGAAAATTTGGCGAATAAAACTATGTTTTGGCTTGTTTCAATTGTGTTTTGGTAAAAGTATTGGCGAATGATTTTTTCCACTGGAAAGAAATTAAAATTACGTCAAAATGAATTTTTCTAAACAATTTTTTATTCGATTACAGTAACGTTCTGTAGATAATTACAGCAATCGAAGTAGAGATTCGCCACTTAACCAATTAGAATTAGGTCTAAATAATATAAGCCTGAAGCAAACTAACGTAAAATGGATTTTTACTCGAAAACAATTTATCAGAAATTTTTTTTAAAGATTTGCATTTGGCGAAGACTTTCAAAAATTGGCGAATACTTTTAATATTTGGCTAATTTACTGGCATATAATAATTTGAAATCCTTAGAGCGGGCTCTGAATATAATGTGAAAAATCAGTTCTTCGTGACAGCTATTGTATAGTGATGATGTGCAGGAGAAAAATGATTCCTGTCCATGTGCTGACAAAGAAGAACAAAGAAGGGCATAGTGAAGAAGAGAACAGGTATTCCTGGTGAGGAAGTATTGATTGGGGCGGAATTGTGAGGAAAAAAAACGGTTCTTGTCCAACCTAATTTTCGAATTTTACTTTTTTAACATCAAAAATTATAAATTTTGAAATTTTTAAGAGGGAGTAAATTTATGCTTGTGACATACTTGAGTATTTTTATTTTTACGATTTCCATCGAATACTTGCCCCTGTTAATGCACAAAACTTGAAATTCTACTGACATGACATGAACAGCAAAGGATAAAAACGGTTCATGTAAGCTGATTACATGAACATAAACCATTTTCTCCCATTGCTCTTCCTGTGTGTTGAAACAACATTGTATCCACACTGATTTATATATTAGTGGATAATCATTTCATCAAAACACTGGTAAATGCAAAGCCCTGCTGGTAGCTTTATTACTGATTTCACTACACTGGAAAAATATGTTAAAACTACCAGAATATGGTAAAATTTACCGTGTTCCTGGCGAAATACTTGGAAAATGATTTTTGTTAAAATTAAAAATGAAATATGGTTTTATTACTATGATGTTTGGTTGTAAATAGGGTGAAATTTGATAATTTTTCATGATAGCCTTGAGCATGGCATAAAAGTCAATTCGGTTAAATTTACTACTCAATTTTGCATTTTTTACTAAATGTAGGGTAATAGGAACTATAATTTCAAAAACAAGAATTTCTGGTAGTTTGTTACTATATTAACGAAACAGTTACCGAATGAGTGGTTTAAATACCTCATATTTTAGTTGTTTTATTAACCAGAATTATTATATTTTTTTCACCAGAAATTTTCAATGTTACCGATTTAAGATTTCTATCACGTCATTTAGTTAACAAATATAATTTTTCACAAAAGACTCTTTATTTTAAGAACTAACTTTCTTAAATCATTCTCAATCAAACTGGCTTAGACTTGTTAGTATCACAATTTTATTATCAATACATATTTTGCACCCACGATATAACGATTTTATTATTATAATATTTATTTACAACTCTTGATTTTACAATATTATTATTACAATATTTAATTTTAAAATTTTAACCTATATTTTAGATTCTTTTCCAAAAATTAGGCTATAATACTTATCTATTGTGGGCATAGAATAATACTAAACAGAGAAAAATAATATCAAAATCTAGTAAATTATTTCTAATCATTGTAAAACAGGAAATGATATCATTGATGGCTATAATCCGTAAATTAAACTGAAATTGATTACAAACGTATAACAGTGTTCAATCAAAAATATTGACGTTTAAGAAATTAATAAGAAATTAAAATTCTGTAATTCCAAATAATTTCTACTTATAAAAAAAATTTCTAATGGCAAAAAAAAAACCTAGAAAATATTGAATTTGTTTAAATTGGAATTTTGTTGTTCAATCTCATTAATGGGCTAAAACTGCGTCGCTGCAAGTTGATTTATTTTATTTTAAATAAATTAAACTTAATAACTACTTTGTTGTTTACCTTAATAATTAGGCTGAAACTACGCTACGACTAACAGAATCCCATTTTTTTAAATAAATTCAATTGAATACCTATTGTGTTTTTTTTAAGTCATTAACAGGCTGAAACCACGTTACAACTAGTACGCTGTAAAAAATTCCGGATCATAAAACGGTAAAAAGAGCAGGCATCTTGAGTGCAGCATCCGTAAAATTCTTTTTTTCCGTAAAATTTTATACCGTTATTTTTACAGTAATATTAATTTCATTGCCGTGATTCAGTGATTCTACAGTAAATATTAACATAAAAATTATGGTATATATAATTTTTTTTTGCTTCATGAAACGTTACGGTAAAATTCGATTTTACCGCAATTCGATTCGGAATTTTTTACATTGTAGAGCGCTATTTATTTATAAATTTATATTATATCTATTTATATTATATAGCTATTTATTTATATCTATTTTTACGGTAAAATTTTATACCCTTATTTTTACAGTAATATTAATTTCATTGCTGTGATTCAGTGATTCTACAGTAAATATTAACATAAATAATTAATATGGTATATAATTTTTTTTTTGCTTCACAAAACGTTACGGTAAAATTCGATTTTACCGTGATTCGATCCGGAATTTTTTACATTGTAGATCGCTATTTATTTATAAATTTATGTTATATCTACTTATATTATATCTATTTATATTATAGCTATTTATTTATATCTATTTTTAACGTAAAATTTTATACCCCTATTTTTACAGTAATATTAATTTCACTGCAATGATTCAGTGATTCTACAGTAAATATTAACATAAAAATTAAGGTATATCAATATTTTTTGCTTTATAAGACTTTACGGTAAAATTGGATTTTACCGCAATTCGATCCGGAATTTTTTACATTTTAGAGTGCTATTTATTTATAAGCTAATTTCCATTATAAGGCATACATACATTCAATTGTAAAGCGTACATAATTCTAGCAATACTTTGCAGAAAATAACTATTATTTTTAGTACTTAGTTTTCACGTAAGATTGGTATTTTTTTTTTTATAAATTTGATCTCATGGTAAATATTTCAAGAAAGTATTTTGTCGCCGCCCATATTTAATGCTTTATAAGATATTTATCTCTTTTAAATAAGTGAGTCAAAAAGGAGCAAATAAAGAAATCAGGCAATTTTAATAACTAACTTGAAATACTTTTTCAATAGAAAACGAAAGGAAAATCTACTCGGATATATTTTACAATTATGATTTTATCATCATTAACGAGTTTAGAAAAAGGCAGAACGATCGTAAAAAAAAGAAAGCCATTAGTGAAATTCTAAACGGTAAGTGTTAAATTAGGAGCCTTAGGTTGTAATTTTAATTGTTTCAAATAACCCTCGATTTTTTTAAATCGATCTTCGAAATGAGTGGAATAGATCATTACTGAAACAATTTTTAAAGATTTATACTCATTTATGGAATTTATGAAAGGGAAAAAACGAGGGAAATTTTAAGAATTTTGATTTGATATCCGGACAATATGTGTCATTACAATGATGAATTTCTTAAACTTTTTTTTAAAGTTATTCAAAAAAAAACTTTTTTTGAGGAAATAAATGTACAAATTTATTTTTATGTTTAAATCACAAGTGTCCAGATCCTGGGCAACTGTAAATGGAACATAAAACGTACATGGTTAGAATTTCTTAGATGATTTTAGAACAACATGTATTTACATAACGAAAAATTGCTTAAGTTTTTTGAGCGTTTTAAAATTATTTCTTATTTCTACAAAAACTTTTTGGAAACATTTAAGCGTCTAATTTTGTTAATAAAATAGAACTTATCATTCTAACTGCTTTGTATACAAAGTATAATTTTTCTCTTTTAAATTATTCTTAAACGAAAATGAAGGATACTTTTAAATTCGCGTGCTCATAGCTCTAAAGGTTAAGGGGCAAATATTTATGCTTATGACGAAAATAAACCCCAAGCACCATGTACGCTGTAAAAAATTCTGAATCAAATACGGTAAAATGTACCTGCACTTAGACTGCCAGAATTTTCTTATTGAAAATTTCTTTTAACCGTAAAATCTTATGAAAGAGAAATTCTGAAATACCGCAATTTTTATGAAGTGATATTTATTGTAAAATTTTTGAATAATTGCAAGTTAATAAATAATACTGTAAAAATTTTGGTACAAAATTTAACAGAAGCTGTACTCAGGGTGACAGTATATTTTACCGTAATTTGATCCTGAAATTTCAATATTATACGATAAAATTTAATGTTTCCGTGCAACAAAATTATGCTGTAAACAAAACAAAAAAAGCAACAAAATTTGCTTCTGAAACACAATTATAGAAATAGTAATATACTTTATAAAATAACCTGAAAACTGACATTGTATATGGAATGTTGTAACTGCTTATAATGTCAAAATTAATTATAATTTTTTTCCGAGAAAGCTGTGATTGCTGAATAATATAAAATTGCTCACTCATAACAAAATAAAAATAAAAATGAAATCTGTCAGCCGGTTTTATTTTTCGATTATATAACTTTCAGAGAAGTGGAGAAAAAATAATTAAATAAGGATTAAAATATATATTTTGCTTTTTAAAAGATTAAAACGATCAGCTGTGTAGATGTGAAACGTTATCAGCATTAACGTGAAAAAAGAACAATTAAAAAATTGCTTTTAAAAACGTTAAAAATGGGGAGTTAAAATGTGACGTAAAAAATTATATTAAAGCATTGAAACGGTATCTTGATATAGAAAAAAAATGATCCTGTAAGTCTTTGTGTAAGAAAAGTTCAAATAATGAAAATTCTTTAGCTGCATTTGCGAGAATTTCAGTATTAATTCATAGTATAATAAAACATTTAATTTGAGTAAGAAATAATGCGTGTACAGAAATAAATAACTTAATAGTTAGTAGAACGAGTGAAGTAATTAAAATATTTTTAATGATTAAATTGATATAAAATTTACTTAACAAATAAAAATTTAAAAAAAAAATTTTTTTTTAATTTTTTTTCCTCAAGAACATTCGATAAATTTCATTCAAAATTTGACTTTTATCATTTTAAACTACATAACACAGTATAAATGAAGTAGAAATTTGTACATTCTGCAGTTAGAAGCTTATAGATCAGTTTTCAATTTCCAAAAAATAGTTGGTTAATAAAATATGAAGTACGTCTTCTTTTACCATTATATATATATATATATATATATATATATATATAAAAGAACAAAAAAGAAAAAAATATTTTAATGGTTTTCTGAATTTATCCAAATTATAAGATTTCTTTTTACGATCTGTAATTTCCCAATTTGAACAACTAATTAAATTTATAAATTAAGCTTCGTTTTTTGTACGAATGAAAAGAGTATTACAATAAAATACAATGAGCTTCAATTCAGTAATGTCTTACATTTGCTCTTGAGAAAATTAATTAGTCCTTTCTTTAGAAATTTGTTGCATTGTACTCTTTTTTACTCATGTTTTTCAAGTCAATCAGCTTTAATAATGCATAAAAGCAACTAATTAAAATATTCTAATTGCTTCTTAGTTTAAAAAAGCGATTTGTTAGAAAGTATAATCACCAAATGATTTTGTGAATCCCAGACAGAAATTTACAGTACAGTTATTAGGTTTGATAAGGCTTTAAGAAAAATGATATTGTTTAAAATAAAATATAATGCACAGTTTATTTTTTGCTCATTTAATTGTTCAAAACAGGTACTGAGCTCTTAAAATCTTTAAACCGTAACGAAATAAAAAAAATCATAATATCAAGTTCTAATCCATACATTTTATTAAAAAGTAGTTATTCTATCTAATAATCGATGAGATTGAAAATAGATGGCAGAAAATGTGTATTACATAGCAGGAAGAAATCTTGAATTTACAACGAAGAGATACTAAGTGGACATTTATGTTGAAAATAGAATATGTGGTAAAATGATGTTTACATAAGAATTTTTTTCTCTTAGTTTTAAAATTACACATTTACTTTTAGACTAATTTTTATGCTTGCATTGAGTAACACTTTCACGGCCACTTTAAATAGCCTAAAAATCAATTGGTCTGTTTTCTAAATTTTAACTATACTGACACTCATCAACTTAGTTATTTATAGAGATCCTTATACCTATAAACGATTTTTATTGCATCTTGCTCAGTTTATGGTTATAAAAATTAGCTATAAATAGGATCTGGTTATCTTGTATCCAATTTATTATTCCAATACACCGAATTTTAAGACGTTTGCTATTCGTTTTCTTTGAGGTAAGAATTATAAGGGAGTAGGTTGTGTGCAAAAAGTATTTATTTTATGTTAGCAGATTTACAAAGATTTTCATTTAAAAAAAATATGTAAAAACTATTTCTTTTTCACCAGGATATGTTGAAAAAGTAACAATTAATATTAATTACTTGTTACTTGAATTCAATGGAGAAGAATAATTTTTTTAGGAAATGAATGGCAATTTTCTCAAATTTTATTAGAAAAAAATAATAAATAGTTTTATTATACTAATTTTTACTAATTTATTCATAAGTAAAAACTTAAATATTAGAGGATGTTATAACGTTTGGTGAATTCCAAATAAATATTGTGATACTCTATTTTCTTCAATCATAGTATTTCTTCAATCAATTTCTTCAATCATTTCTTCAATCAAAAATATAAAAGATAAAATTGACAACACTAGTGTTTGAATCTTAATTTCACAAATCTTAACTTCCTCGTGAAATAAAGAAGAATACAGGGTATTAAAATCAAGTGAAGCATTATTTCGTTTCGATTTAATTGTTGTGAATCCTCTTTTCCTCGTGCAGTAAATAAGTAAAATGCGATTATAAAAAATAAATATACCTTCTGAATAAGCTCCCAACTCGAACTTGTCGGTGTCTTCTTCGGCACTCGATGACAATCCATTCATGAGGCTGCGTTTTCTCTGAGTGTTTTGGATAGCCCTCGCATAGGATGTATCGTCCGACTCCTGGTAGTCCTGCTGGTTCCTGCCTCCTGGACTTTTGCCAGACCCCTCCCCACTCGAGTCAGAGTCAACGAACTTGACTGCCTGACTAGCTTCATCCATGAGAGAAAGCGGCTGCAATTGTCGATATCGCAGACTGGATGGTGAGGGTTTGGATTCCTCAACTCGAGGCACAGCAGGTTGGGGAAAGGCAAATGTGGTGCTCTGTTCCTCCGTGGCTGGTGGAGAACTCATTTGCACTGATGACTCGTCTGTTCGCACGTAGCTGCTCTCTCTCTCGGACATCGTCGACAGACGAACAGAAATCTCGGACATTCTGAAAGGAAATATACTCATGCAATTAAACAAAAGTATAAGTGTTACCGTTATAAAGTCTAAAAATATAAAAAATAATTGGCTAGCAAAAGCATGAATAAAATAAAATAAACACATAAAGAGATAAATAATAATAAAAAAAAACGGGCGATAAATATGGAACATCAGAGAGTCGTTGTTTTTTAAAAGATAGATTTTGTGTGTTTGAATTTGAAGTTTATTCTAACTCGTTACGGGATTTTCTATATATGATTGAAAGATTCTTATTAAACCGTAATTTAATGTCGTTACTTTATTTGTTGTGGTGTGAAATAAATGCTTTTTTTAATAAAACAAACAACTGTTTCTTAATGTAGCTAGATACGTTACACCGTGAATGGCCGAAATCAAAAGAATGTCGACTTTCGAAGGTGAATGTAGAGCAGAGTCGCTTTGGTGAATGTGCGAAGCATTTATTATATCCGAATTTATATTAATTTATTCGTTGAAATTATTATATTTATTCGATATTTCAATATTTGCTGAGGATAGATTAGAAGAAACATCAGTGTTCGGAGTATCGGTTAAATGCGTAGTGGGCAGTGGCACTTAACCTTAAAAAAATCAGTGGAGGGCATACCGGGCAAATGCATACTTGGTAGTGGCACTAAACCTTAAAAAAACATTGGGGTATTGCATACCGGGCAAATGTATACCAAACTGTGGCACTTAACTAGATCTAGTAATGTATTTCGGACATTTACCAAAACGACTACGTCATTGTCAACATTCACTGGTGGAAGTCAATAACTACCGATTTCGGTCATTCACAGTAACATAAATAGCAGTAAAATGTAGCAAAAAAAAGTTCGTTTGAATTTTATTGTAATGAATCCTAATTTACGTGTGAAATAAAGAATTGTTTACGGTATTAATCGCCTTAAAATCAAGTAAAACATTTTGTTTCAATTTACTTGTTGCGAATCTTCTTTTCCTCGAGCAATAAAGAAGTGTATTAGAAGTGTTAAAATCAAGAGAAAGTTTATTTCCTTCGAGTTTTCTTGTTATAAATCCTCATTCCTCGTGCAATAAGCGTTGTGAATTCTCCTTTCCTCGCACAATTAAGAAGCGTAAAATTTATATTAAAATGCAGCAATCAAGTATTTTATTTCAATTTTATTGTTATGATTCCTAATTTCCTGATGTAGTAAAGAAGTGTAATAATATCGTTAAAATAAAGCAATCGATTATTTGGTTTAAATTTTATTGTTAAGAATCCTCATTTCCACGCGCAAAAAAGAAGTTTATTAATCACATTAAAAGGAAGTGAATGATTTTATTGTTACGAATCCGTATTTTTTCGTGCAATAAATAATATTAATTGTAGTATATTCCTTGTAATTAAAGTTGCGGTCTCAAGATCACATTTTTCCCATGGCAATTCTTATGCTCACTGCAGTTAAGGGTATCTATATCTCTATATAGTTGATTCTCTTGCTTTCGTTTGGTATGCAAATTCTTTTCTCGATTATATGTTAATAAACTAGTGCTGAATTGTTCTTCATTTAAGTTCTGTTATCATGAATAGCCTTGATATTACGTGCCAATCAAGGATGGTTATTTACGACGTTTACAGCTATTTAAAACAGTTATAATGATCAGAATCAATTGCTGCTGCAAAATAATTGTTTTTACAGATGCAGAAAGTAATTGATGATGTATGTAGTACTTTCTACCAAACAGTACAACGAAATTATGCAGAGTCAGATAGGACTGCAGGCACTGGAGTTCAGGATAAACTCTCGGTTTTCGGGTCACACAAGAAAGAAAACAAATCCTTGAAAAACCCTATTAGAGATTTGGAAGATCATACGCATCTATTAAAATCCTTCAAAACTATCCAAGAAATTAACGACCGAGATGAAAACCCAACAGAGGCGAATTTAAAAGTTCGCTTAATATAAAAAATAATTTTTTTTTTCGAATTTTGAAAAGTTTGGGATTTTCTTAACGAAAATTCCATGGTGCATTTTTAATGGAAAGAACGCCATTATTGTTTCTCGTATGAGGTTTTTGAGAAAAATACAGTGAGAAATGGTTCTTTAACTAGGTCAGTGATATACCTTAATGAAACTTGAATAACCGCAAATCATTTACCTAAATATATTTGGAAAATTTCTACTAGCCAGGAAGGCTTAAAAATTCCATTGAAGATTCCATCGGTTCTGCTTATCAATTTTTTTTACCGTCCTCACAAATTCTTTACCAATCCAAAAGGATGGTATACTATTACGAGGAGATGTACAGTGAAGTATTGTGATGGCACGTCTTCGGATCATCCTCAGGGATATTTCCCAGACAGTCGCCAATAGCCCATTGTGCAGCTCTAGTGCGACGTAAATGAACTACAACAACTACAACAACAATGAACAGTGAAAGTTTTCAAGGAATAGCTTCTTGAATTACGTAAGATGGTTAGAGGAACCATGTGCCATTTTTATGGACAATGCGAATTATCATTCAGCATATGAAGAAATAATTCTCCCAACAAACACATGCAAAAAGCTGATAATGTAGCATGATTTCAAAATAAATGCACCCTGCACAATTATTATCAAAACCAAGCCTTGTGAAGTAAAGACAACTAACTTCATCAAATAGTGTTCGAAATGGAAGGTGGTGAGGCTCTTCTCCCATTAGCATGATGACCTGAATTATTTTGATGCTATGAATGCCCATTTCTATGAACAAAAAATAAGTAAAATGTTTAAAAACTCTCTATGATATATCTAATGAAAAACCTGATTTGTAGCAATCGATTGTAAAAAAATATTGTGAATAATTTTACAAAACCACATTATAAAAAATGAATGTTTATTATTCTGAAAAAAATTACGATTTTAAAAATAACATTTTGCTAAAAAGAAAAATAAATCGCAATAACGTTATTTACTCCTTCTTTCTGAAAAAAATGTTTTTAAGGTGCTCCATTTGGTGCAATTCTAAAGCGAACTTTTAAAACCAATGCAGGAATCACTTTTGACGATTAGCTTTTTAAAAGAAACATAAAAGCAAAAAATAATTTCAAATTAAATATTGTACACGAATAACTTGTTGGAAGACCGCCATATAATATTATCCACTAGAGATTTACTTTCACGGGCAATAAGCCAAGATCTGATAAGAGCCAATGATATTCTTTCACTTCATATTTGTAGCTTTTTGGAAAACTGTTACATGGTACCTCATCAAAATAAGTTTAAAAATAAAAATACATTCCCTTAAAGTGTTTGTTTAGAGCTTATAACCGTTTATCTTTAGAAGAATAATCCTTTTGGTAAAGAGAATTTTCAAAATTATTTCAGAAAAATAATCAATAAACTACAACCAATGACATTGAATTTTAATTTATGTTTGATGATGGGAAGTAAGGTGTTCAATTAAATTCTCTGATTATGATAAAAATGAGTTATTCTGAATCAGGTCTTTTACACGAATATATCACGAATAATAAAAATGTTCTTTTCATTTATGATTTTCAAACAAAAAATATTTCCTTAAAATACTTTCATTAAATTAAAAAATTTGTAACCTTCTTTTTGGCAACGATATGGCCGTCGATCTTACGGGTACGGTAAGTCTCGGTCATCAGATCTTTTACACGAATATCTCAAGCCTAATCAAAATGTTCTTTTTTTATGATTTTCAAGCAAAAAAATATTTTTCTAAAATACTTTTATTAAATTAAAGAAATTATAACCTTCTTTTTGGCAACGATATGGCCATCGATCTCACGGGCATGGATGGTCTCCTGGAAAACTGGTCTTCAGTAGAATCTTCTTCACTCACTGATAAAAAAAATGATAGAAATAACACGCTATAACAAGTTGATTATTAAAAAATAATAAATGGTTTTATATCAACTAATATACAACAATCTAAGAAATTATGATTCAATAATATCTTTTTCTTAAAGCATAATGCGATGCAAGTTTGACGCAATCTTACATGGAGAAAAATTCTAATAAAATTGCCTTACTATACTAATATTATTTTTGGTACAAAAAAGAAAAAAAACATCATTCAGGTTAATTAAACCAAATTATACGGTGTTTAAACTATTCATTTGGTAATTTTTTTGCTTATAGGGTAGTGGTTTACCGAAAATTCGGGTTTTAAAAATTATAGTTCTTATTACCACACCGACTGAAAAGTAAATTTAACCGAATTAATGGTTTCTATGTCGTGCTCTTAGGTATCATGGTGAAATGACCAAATATTTACCACTATTACCAAATTTTGTTCGGAGGAATTTCGGAGGAAATGAAAAAATTTAAAAAAAACTAGTACTTTTAAAACAATTTATATTTAAAAACAGTTCAGAATATTGCTTTAAGGTATCTAGAGACATTTTTAAGCAAAAAAAAAATCGCAAAGCGTTTCAATTACAGTCCAGCGTTACATTTAAAAATAAATTTGAAATTTATTTTATCTGCAATTTTGAAATTAGTTTTAAAGTTAGCAGATGTTTGAGTGGCGATGCAAATTGAAAGCTTAGCGTTAAAAGTTTTAGAACATAGCAAATTGTCGATATAGTTCCATTCTCTAACAGACAACAATATTAAAAAGACATTTTTCGTTTCACTCATACTATCACAATAAAAAGAAAATTGTCATATATCATGTCAGTTTTTTTATTGAAGAAAAAAAAAATATTTTACCGGAAATAATGAGACTCTCAGCCAGACTGAAATTTTATTGTAAAATAACTGCAAGGCATTTAAAAAAAAACAACTTTAACTTCTTTCTGAAGAGGAAGAAATCACTGTCACTTGTGATTTGTTTTGTCCAAACAGCCCTCGCAAATGCGTTTTTACTTGCAAAAAATACTTATCGTTTTTTGTTTAGTTTGTGAAAAAGTCTCTTGCAGTATTTATATTTAGGGGGAATCTAGTTTTCTGCCTCATAGAAATCAACTTTACAATTTAAGCGGATTTAACTTTGTTTATTTCGAAATTCTTACTTAAATCTGTGATGTAAAGGAATCATTAAAGGGAAAATACAGAGTTGCTTCTTTTTTTTTTGTTGAAAAAAAATCTCTTTTCTAGAATTGAAAAAAGTTTATAGCTTTTAAAGTTTTATGTCGAAAAACAATTATTTTCCATTTATATGAAGTTATATTTTTGTTTAGTATATTTTTTATGCAATATTAGATATGTATTTTAAATTTTGTTGATATTCAATTATTTTTTGAATATTAAAATGTGCATAAAAATTTAGATGAAAAAAAAACCTTTTTTTTTCAAATTAAATTTTATTGGATATGATTAATTTCAATTTAAAGAAGGGTATTTTTTTTTGCATATATTGAATACGAATTAATGCGAAGAAATTGCAACTTATATTCAAAAATATGACGCACACAGCGGTTAAGGGATTTTACAATAAAATTTATGATATATTAAGCTTTTTATTTCGCAATATTTTAGGGTAAATGATAGCGGCACCCTGAGTGCCAGTCCTTTTTACCGTATTTTTTTAAATGTTGCTGAACTAATTAAATGCAACTAGGTCCTGAATTCCCCTTATTAACTTTTTAGGAATTGCAAACAATTCATTAAGTGATAAAAATCAACGGAATTGTTCATTTTGAAGCAGTATTAAACATGCTATTTAAAACACATTCGATTTCTCAATTATCAAATTATCTGAAAGAGTTATGGCAATAACTTAAGTGGTCCATCATGTCATACACTGAGAAGAAAAGAAAGTTTGGCCAAAACTACCAGAATGTGGTAATATTTGCCGTGTTCCTGCCTTTATGGGGACACAAAATGCTTGGTAATTTTTACCAAGCACTTTGGTAATCATTCTGGTAAACTCTGGTAACAGTAAATTCTGGTAACAATTAAATATGGTTTTATAATATTTGATATAAATTGCTAATCATGGTAAATTTTATTAATCTTATCATGTCTTAGAGCAGTGGTTCTTAACCTTTTTAAGCCGTGACCCAAATTTGAGAAATATGTTCATGTCGCGACCCCAAAAAAAGTCAAAATTAGGCTGAGTAAGCCACAATGACTTCTTCTAGGAGGTGTTGTTATTACTTATTATTTGGTGTATTAACTCACTTTTTTGGTTCGACTCAGCGCGACCCAAGAAATATGCTTCGCGACCCAATTTTGAGTCGCGATCCATAGGTTAAGAACCGCTGTCTTAGAGCATGGCATAAAAAACATTTATTGGGAAAATTTTCTACTCAGTTTTGTATTTTTCACCAAATATGTTGTCATCTGAACTATAATTTTGAAAACCAGAATTTCTGGTAAACAGTTACCATAAGGAACGGAAAAATTATAAAATTAAGGGTTTAAATGCTCTAAATTTTGGTTTAAGTAAACAAAATAGTGTTTTTTTTTCCTTTTGAATCAGAAATGCTATTACAATACCAGTAAGGCAATTTTTACAAAAAAAAATTTTCTCCGCTTATTGATTGCAGTTAACTATTCCATGATAAATGGTTTTTCCTTTTTAGTTAATTGTACTTCAGAAGAATGCGTACTGCCACTTACCTTCAAGTGATGGTAATTCAACTATAGGAGACGTCATGTCATAACCGTGTGTCACCAGAATTACCGGCTCTTCTGCTTCACGCAATCGAAGATTCAATTTTTGAAGTTCTATGCTCACCTGATGAAAAACAATAAAAGTTATACTAGATAATTAAACAAGGAAAAAATAATTAGAAAAATAAGAATTATAATACACACTTAAATTTTAGATGAAAATATCCAAATGTATAATTCTGCAGTTTAGAAGAAAGTAATTTAATATACGGTGAGAAAAATTCTGGTAAAATTTATGTACCTTCGTGGTAATGACATTTTTGGTAAACGAAACTACAATTCTTGAAAAAAAAATGTGTTTCTTAAAGTAATCATTCTTTTAGTAATTTTTTCGTTTTTATGGTAACGGTTTATAAGAAATTCTGGTTTTTAAAATTCCAGATCTTATTACTATACCTTTACTAAAAATATAACATTGAAAAATATTTTTTTTCCAAATAAATTGTTTTTATGCCATGCTGTAAGGTATCGTGATAAAATTACCACATATTCCACCAAACAGCATGGAAATATTCGGCATAACAAATACCAAACGACATCGGATATAACAAATATAAACGACAACAAATAACGGCATACCAAACAGCATGGTAATATCATATTTCCTTTACAGTGTATCATTTAAAAATTGTAACTTTGAATTTAATAACACAATAAAATAGTAAGTATTATTTTATTTTCGAAATTTTGTGTCACTTTCAGCAATAGTAGTAGTAGTAGTCACTTTTTGTTCTATTATTCAATTTCAAAAATTAAGGAAAACTCTTAAGAACATCTAAAACAATAATTATTTAGTTACAAGTTCATATAATTTATAAAAGTACCGAACCAAATACTTGATTACATTTTATTTGTTGATTTAATCGAATTAGTGTTTGCGTTGTAAAATAAGCGACTGCTTAAAAAGTTGCAAATAGTGCAATTTTTTGTCATTTGCAATTATTAAAATTTATTAAGTCACACGAAATTGGATTAATGATCATATATTCCCAAATTATGATTTATATTAGATAACACACCTGACTAAGTGGGATAAATTTTCACGGCTAAGAAAGATAAAATAACTCCCATTTGATCGCTTTATATATAAAAATATGTGGCATAGTAAAATAATTTTATGTTTAGGATATTTTATGGAGATTAAAAAAATGTGTCATGTCTATGAACCAAAATTTTTTTAAATCTTTTTGAGGTTATGAGGTTATAATATGCATCATTAAATAAACACATTTTCATTTCCATTGTAATTAACGAAATAAACTATCCTAATTAAATTCAGTTTCAAGGTCAAATTTAAACATGATGCATTTTTTTGTGTGCCATTTATTTGAAAATATTGTTGCTTAATTAAGATAAAAATATTCCAGAGGACAAAAATAACTTAGATAGTAACTCATAGAAGTAAAAAAATCCCATGATTTGTATTATAATCCAAACTATTAGTCGCTTGATGTATTTTCTAACAATAATACGATGCAGAAAAAGAAGATTTAAAAACGGAATTAACTGATTGAATGCAGTGTTTTATTCGAGAGAAACTTCCATTATATAGATATAATTTTACGTATGATTAGAAAACTAATTATAACATTTCAATTTAAACATTAAAACATTCTCGAGCTTTGAAATGATAAATTTAAATGTTGAATTAGAACTTTATTTCTAATTTATGTGGTACATTTAAAGATTATTAACTATTTACTAATTTTATTGTCAACGTATTTTAACTGATTGTTAATATACTTACGTACTCAAAAGTTAGTGAAATGTATGTATATATAAATATAAAATTTGAAATATGAATTTTATATATTTAGTATTAAAAAGTATGATTTAAAAAACTAGTTTATTGAAAACATATTTTAAATTCTACGTTTCATTCAGATATTATAATTTTATATAATTTTGTTTGAATAAAGCATTTTGTTTATTGACCGTATTTCTGTATGATTTAAGGGTTGCAAAAATTTGCGATGATCTGATCAATAATTATTATTATCTGTACGTAAAACTTGATGTTGACAAACGTCTTTAATAAAATTTGTGCAATATATATGTTGATCTTATAAATAACTTAATGTTACTTCTGAAGAAGTTTATTGGATTAAAAAAGTGAAGGAAGGAATTTTACTGAATTAAAAACAATTTGCTTTATAAAGTTATAATAAATAAAAATGTAACTTATAACAAACATTCGTAGGAATCTGGAAGTCTCTCACGGTACAATTCGAAAAGAACTTTATCTATATTAAATCAAGATTTTTCAGAGTATTCATTACTATCCAAAATCAATCCATTCGGTGACGAAATAGGAATATTATCGAGATGGAAAACACAAAATTTTATTTTGTGTTCGGAGTGAAAAACGCAATAAATATATAATTGGATTTATTACATGTAATTACAGTCTCATTTTCACGGATTTTCGCGGATAGAAAGAGCTCAATACAATATCTGAGTGATTGGTGAAACATCGGTGACAGAAGTGGCCTTAATATCACTAACAATTTGAAGACTTACTCTTCTCACAACGATATACACCGAAGAGCCATTACATTATGACCACCCTACTAATAACATGTAGGACCACCTTTGGTCCCCAAAACTGCTAGTACCCGCCGTGGCATTAATTCCACAAGGTGCTGATAGATAGTCTGAGGTATCTGGTACCAAGCGCTCACCAACTGGTCCTGCAATTTCCTCACATTGCGAGGGGGTAGCGTGGCACTACGAATTTGGTTTTCCAAGTATTAACACAAATGCTCTATTGGATTAAGGTCAGGTAAATTTGGGGGCCAAGACATGACTTGAAAGTCACTGGAATGTTCCCCGAACCAATCCATGATGATTCGACCCCTATGACATGGTGCATTATCCTGTTGGTAAACACCATCCCCCGCAGGAAAAACTGTTGCCATGAATGGGTGAACCTGATCTTCAACTATGTTCAAGTAGCATACAGACATCAGGAATTGTTCTATGAGGATTATGGGTCCTAATGTGCCCCATGAAAACATTGTTCCTGGGCGAGTGACCATGAAAACCTGAGCGAGCCCATTGTTATAGATGGAGGGTGCTCATAATGTAATGGCTCTTCGGTGTACATCTACAGTGGATCCCCTCTCACGTAAACCTTTACTTTAATGATCCTGACAAGGAGGGTTCTAATGATCCTATAGATAGTAGTGGTCTTCTAACATGCAATGAAATCCTTGCAAAAGTAAAGGCCGACAATAACAGGACTTGGAGGATTCCACCTAGTCATGGTTGGTATCAACAAAATAGTCCTGGGGCTGCCCTGGAGCCAAAAGGTGATAGAAAACTGCAGACAGCTATCACAAGACTAATCAGTGGTCATACATGCGGACTAACATTTGTTCAGGGTCAAAATATGCCTAAAATGTAATGTGCACCAGGCTACACCTGATCGTTTGCTGTCCTGTGTGAGGCTAGAGAAGAATTTTATCTTGGAGGCTCCGGCGATGGTATATGATTTTCTGTCGGTGAACGGTCTTCTGGACTTGGTCTAGCTTTGTCCTGGGCCAAGTGGAATAAGTAACAACAACAACAACAACACACTCGCATTAATATGTTTCATATCTCAAAAATGTTAAATTTACAAAAAATACACCTTATTTCATGATTCAATTAATTTATATTGTGTATTCAAAAGATTAAAATTTAGTTCTTAATGTACTTACATCTTCATATCGCTGCCTACATCTTCTGTTCTCTTCTTGAAGAAGTTGTATGTTGTACTGGAGATCATCTTCTGAACTCCGCCGAGATTTCTTCAGGGGTTTGAGAGTAGCACGAACCCTACGGTCACCAGCGTGAGGATTTGCCCATAGTTCCAGCAACTGTAAACGATGGACAGCAAATCATTTACGTATAAACTACGTGCAATAATTACTATTCTTTCTCGATTCCTTTTTATGCTGTGTTATAAGCAGTTTAGTTTAGTGTGTTGTAACTTATTGTTAACTTACTAGGGCGGATCACGATATGCAAAATTTTTAATTGATAAGAAATATCAATATGGTCAAATGTTTATGAAACAATTGGTGTGAAACATATTGAAAAACATATAGGTTTTCTGAAACTGGCCTAAAAAAATTTTTTTTTTGGTTATAAGTACATTTTATTAAAATGTAAGTTTTAATATAATACAAATCTTAGTTTTCAAGTTTAAAATGCGAAATTTAGTATTTAAATTATTGAAAAAAAATCCTCCTTAAAAAGCAATATTTAGATTTCTCAAAATCTATAAGAAAACTATTAAGTAAGAACTAAATAAGTGGCCAGACCTGAAGACTGATTCGAAAATTTAAGATATGCGTATCTCTTAACGAAAGTTTCCCGGTAAATTTCGAATTACCATCCATAATGATTTTTCACTGCTTTTTACATTCAAAAAATTGCATTTTTGAATTTGAAAACTTAAGTTTCTTTTATATTTATGACTAAAAAAAGAAATTCATGTTTTATACCCTCGAAAAATAAGCTTTGGGATCCATTTCAGAATACCTAAATTATTTTCACTTAGATTAAAAATTCTTTTGTAAAGCATAGGGTCACAATCGTAACTTTTATCGATTTGAAATTTTTGATTTCCGATAGCAACTTTTTGTAATACATTATAGTATAGATCACCGACTTATAATTGAACTGATTTCTGTGATTTATTTTTTCTCGCTTAAATTTACTTTTCAAAATACAAAGAAAAATTATTAAGTGTAAGATATTAATAAAAATTAAATTTCATTATTCATAATAATTTAACATGTTTATATTTTTATTCAATATAAGATCGTGTGAGAGTGTACATTTGAAAGTGGACAGAGCTTATCCATAATGCAGAAATACTCTGGGCTTTTTATTGGCTTAAAATTCCTTCGAACTTGGCTCCAGAACGATCTTAATTATTGAAATGAATCACAAAAGTATTAACAAAAACTTTTTCTACTGTAGTAACTTAAGTGTTTTTCACACTTAAGTTACTATAAAATCGTTCTTTCTTAGACTAATGAATTATAATCATTTTGGTATGAAATGAATGGATTTCGTTATGGTAGAAAAATGTGACTTCTTACATAGTTTTCCAGATAAGAAACAAAAAGAAACAAATTCGTAAGCATTCATTCGATAATTTTAGAAATTAACATAAAAACCATCAAATTAATACTGTAATAAAAATATTAATATAGATTTTTTAAACATTTACTCTAACGTTAATAAAAATTTAAAATTTTCCATTTATTTCCTAGTGAACTGATTTCTTTCTTCTAAGACTTATTTAAATTACTTTTTTTATCATTTCTCGAGCGAGAAATTAGTCCGTATACACGTGCAATTCACTTATCTCGCTTTTAAACAAAATCTTGAATATAATACTCCTTTCAATTAATTTTTAATACAACAGTGATATACAATATTAATGTTAGCTACTAATATTTTTTTTCATATTGTGACTCGTTATTGTGTTGTGCATTCTTGCTTCAGTGGGTGACCATGTTACGGCAGTGATAGAGTTTTATATATATGTATATATACACTTAGAGAAGAGCAGTGGAATCTAAGATGGAGATTTGGTGATATATGTACCTCACAGCTTGTCTAGTTTAACAACCTGTTCTACCCAAAACAAAATGTAGCACATCTAAAGCCGGAAAATACACTCGTCGCATCTTTCTAAATATAGTCAATGGAATTATTACTTTTTTGGTTAACAAGTTCATCGTCTGTTATCAACAAAATGCCCTGCCGAATAGAGCCAATGACACCGCTCTGAAGACGAACTGCACCATCTTATCAACAAAGTCAATCTCCTGCCTTTGAGAACAACACAATTCTCTCCTCTTCAGCAACATTCAACAAAAAGAACAGTTCTACACCGCTCATCAGATCAATTATCCTTCCTTTCAGCTACAGCCTCGTCGTTGAACAATCATCGTAGTGAACATTTGTGATGTCCTGTCTCTCAACCCCAAATGTACCGCTCATTAAACTCCCAAGAATCCAAGAGTTTATTTAATTTTTTTTTGTATTACCATACATGCTTAGAAATATAAGGTTTGATTCTACCTGATTCGTAAATTGAAATGATTCTTGGAGTTTACCACGCTTTAATAAGCAATCCGTTTGGGTTGCTGATTGTTGGCTGACCACTAAAATTGTTCTACGATGATTGTTCACTACGATATTGTATACGATGACGCTGAATCAGAAGAAACGGGTAATTGGTCTGGGTGGTGTATAATTGTACTTCGTGTTGAATGTTGCTGCAAAAAAGATATTTTGTTGTTCTAAAAGCAAGAAGTTTGACATTACAGATAAGACGGTGGAATTAGTCTTCAGAGCGATGATTACTGCCTTTTAGCAGTTGAGAATAGTCTTAAGAGATGTATTATTGACTATATTTGGCGAAGCGTTTTCTTGATGAAAGACAACTAAATTGTTATCCAGAAAAAAAATTGCGTTGACGATATTTCGAAAACTGCGGAGAGGGTATTGGCCAATCTTAAGTGCGTGCCATTTTGTTTTGGGTAGCCATCGTTTTATTTTTGACTGGTTTAAGAACGACTCCCGTTTGGAGCCCCATGTTAAAGAGCGGTGGTGTCAAGGGGGTTGTTAAAGAATCAAAAAATTATTGCTAAATCTATTTAAACAAGCATTGTAGCAAATAGGTTGTCAAACCAGAGTAAAATAGGGTGTTTAAAACCAGACAAGCTGTGAGGATGTGTGTTACGTCTTTTACCAAATCTCCGCAGCAGATGAGTGGCGTTGATGTCTTTAAAAGTTTGTGCTTCCATAATGCATTTTAGCAATGAATTTAAAATGCATTTTCATTAATTCATTGCTGACAAAAAAAACTGCAAAAGACTTCATTAATTACTTACTTTTCGTTACCTGTTCAAAAAGAATGCAATTTATTTTTGTATGAAGTATTTATAAAGGCAAAAGTGAAAAGATGTCAACTAATTTTGAGAAATAGAAAAGTTATCACGTTTTATAATTAAAATTATACTTTTTTTCACTCGATATTCGAATAAAAATAATCATACCTCTGAGTAAATGTGTGCGAGTGCAAATATCATGCTCATGCTCACTGTGTGTGTGGGTGGAGTTATGTGCTCGTGAGAAGTAATAAATGTGCAATCAAAATCTGTACAGTTTATTGACAAAATACTACTTGCAGTGTCGCATTTTCATGTTATGAAATAAATTAATGACCGACCTTAATTGTTAAGTATCAAGTTTTAAGTCTTGAAATACTTTTTTTAACTTTTAAAAGTTAAAAAGAGTATTTCAAGACTTAAAACTTTTTCACATTTTTATACTTAGAAAAATATTTTTTGTTTTTGAAAACTGATGTTATGAGACAAAATTAGCAGAACAAAAACTTAGTTTTTTTCAAACAATAAAAAAATAATATTTCTAATTATATGTATTTTTGTTTGATAAAATCTTTTGAGAATTTCCCAAATAATTTCGCTTGTATAATATTTCCTTTTTTTTCTTCTTGAAATTCCTTTTTTTTGTAATACAAAGAGATATCAAATATATTTTCACGCAATAGAAATACTTAATTTTTTATTAAGTTTTTATGCCAAATGACTTTTATTGATATTTTATCATTTCTAAAAGAGGAAAATACTTGTGACTTCATTTTTTTTAAATAAAAATTATTCTTCTATTATGGAACAAAATAAATGCTCAGAATAAATACTTAGTATAAAATAAAACATTGTTATCTATAATGAAATTAAGCAAAAACAGTTGAAGATTTTACCTTTACACTTTCTGGTCTTAAAAATTGTTTTCAATTGCTTTACGTATTCTATTTTGTTATTTCTAAAGAATTGTGATTTCATTTTAAGATTCATTTAAACTGTATGCTTTTGAAAAGAAAAGTTTCAAAAAGAAATTCATAAATCAGCTGGAGAAATATTTTTTAAAATATAAATGTAAATTGTGTTTTAACGTAGCTCAGAAAACAGTTTGGTGAAAAATTTCATATAAAAATGGGAAACTTCTAAAGCAAGTGTTTCCTAACTTTAGACGAAATATTCAAAGTAATATTTATTTAAAATTTATACTTGAGTAATTATATTAAGTAGTTGATTTTACAACCGCGAGAATTTAGAGTAAAACTTTTAATTTAGTTTTAAAAAAAATAATGAATAAACATTATGTAATTTTTCTAAAATACTATATTATTTATTCTGTTTAGATATTTAAACTTCTTTTTTTTGGTGGAAGATTATTTTGAAGTGAGTTAAAATATGAACTATTGCTCGTCAAACTAATCCATAACAATACTGTAACGGCTGAAAGCTTAGTAAACGTTTTTACACATATTCATCAAAATTTAACTGTTTATGAAGCCAAAATACAAAAATATGTACTTAATTTAAATTAAACAAAATAAGTTCAATTACATATTTTTTTTTATTTCAATTTAAAAAATTATTAGATATTTTAAAAAGTAAGAATTAATAAAAGTTTATCTTCATTCGAAAATATATTCGCATAAAACGAGAAGTTAGCATCTTAAAATTCCATCCAGTTTTTTGTAAAAATTATTCTATGACAAAATTTTTTTTTTTTAGTATGATTATTTTCTTGCAATAAATTATCTCAGCGAAAACGAAAATATTATCAGTTTCAATCAACAGTTATTTGTTTAATAGAAGTATGGAAAAATAAAGTTATTTTAAATGAAAAAAAATAGTTTACTTTCTTGAAATAAATAAATAAACTATAGCTTGTTGTCGAAGGAAAATAATAATCATGTCAAGGATTTTATTTCATTTCTGCATGCTTCATTAAAATTTAGATTCTTAATCTCTCGTTTAAATCTTCATCCTATAGAACCACGGGTAAAAATTATTCTATATAATCAGTTTAGTTAAAATAGTGAATTATAATTGAATAATAGTACGTATTTAGAATCATGGATCTAGCAAAATTTTGAGCCCTTGAGTTTGAAATTATAATAGAAGACTCTGAGAGCTAATATATTTTTCTTATCTAGGAGGAAGCTTGCAAGAAAAAATATCAATTTCATGAAAAAATGTGAATAAAAATAAACTCTGAAAAAAGTTTTATTTCTTAAAAAAAATGCTGAGTTTAAAATTTATAATATTTGGCGAAAGAAAAAAAATCAACTTAAAAGCATTTTTAAAACAAATTCTTGAATGGTAATTTTACCTGTTTCACTGCGTCAATGGAAGAAAGGGTTATAAGTTAGTCGCAATAAAAAAAATTAAAAAAAAGATAAAATTTGCGAAAAATTTTAAATACCAACCGGCACTAAAAAAGTGTTAAGGCTTTGGAAATTAAAGCTTATCGGATAAAAACCTTTTAATTTCATGTAATATTGGTATTTTCCTTCAAACAGAGCGCAATTTTGGAACAAATTATTGCAAACTGTTAAATTAATGCTTTTAATGTTTTGCGCTCTTTAAATATTCATTTGCTAAAATTTCTACAGGTCTTTTGATGCAAAGGCTTTAGAAATTTCATTTATCAAAGCAATTACCCTGCTTAACATTTGCTTAAAACCAGCATTTCTTCTGAAAATTTATGTTTTTCTAAATTATTTTTTTTATATATATATTCTTATTGTACCTCCGTGAGGTATTTGCTCTAAAGGAATGTTATGCATTTATCGTTATCTATTTATCAGCCGATGGAATGGAAAACAACTCAACTGTATTTGACGCAATTGAGAGTGTCTCTTTAATTTCCAAACTATTTCCTCGCCATTTCAATATCCGTCAATAATTAGCCACGTTGCTTTTATTTATAACTGCATTTTGATTGCAATAAGAATGTAAGTTTCACGGTAAAACAGAATCAAATTAATTCAATTGTTAAATGTCTGAAAATTTGTGGATTTTGGAGAAAAAAAAATTTAAACTTCGCAATAACTCGCGTCAAGACAGATTTGCAACCTTAGTAATGACTGCAATGCTCTTAAGAGGTAGAGTTTAAGGGCTGAAAACATGCAATATTTAGCATTAATATTTGATAGTATTGGTTAGAAGACTTGGTCAGAAGATGGCAGAACTGAATAATTACATTATGCTATATTAACTTAAAATTTCGAATTTTGTTTTCATAATTTTTCTACAATTCCTCTTCTTGCAAGCAACAGTATTTATTTAAATGCTAATTTGGAACTGTTATTTATCTAAACAACAACTTTCCTAATTAAGATATAGAATAATATTTTAGTCTTTTTGCCTTATGCTTTATTTATTTTTGGTTCATAAATTGTATTACTTTCCATGTTTTTGGTCTGATTTTATATGGTATGTTTTCTATGTAATTTTATTTATTTTCTTAGAAATGGATCTTTCTGACATAAATAATACTTAATCAAATAGTTATTCTCCCCCATATGCACGCATAAGGGCCCAGAAGCATAAAGTGCCTAAAACTGTGACGTACGTCAAAGAACAAACGAAGTCCTGCAGAGCAATTTGTATCTATAATAAGTGACAGCGTTTTCCTGCGACACCCCCCCCCGCCCACCTGCCTCCGGTTGGCCTGCAGAATAATTCCGAACCCTAATCTCATACATTCTTCAGCAGATTTTTTAGGCAGCCTTTATTTTAATGTTCGGACCTTCAAATCATAGGCATTTTATTAATAATTCATCATTATCATCGTCATTAACAAAATTTTGTACTGCAAAAGTGATTGAAAAAGTAATAAATCAAGAATGTTTGCCTTGGTTTAAAAAATAATATAGTGCATCTGTGTATGATCCTGTATTTTAATAAATGAAAATATAGTATTTTAACATTAAGTTGACTTTTTTTCGCTGTGAAATGCTTGCAGAACATTTGTATTAATTAATAAGAAAATATTCTGCTTATGGGCATAAGGGTATCCCTTGCTGAAGTATTGTATTAAATAATTGTTAATTTCTCTTTCAAAATACTTTCTGTCAAGTTATAACTCTTTAATTATAACTCTAACTTTATGTAAATCAAATAACTCTTTAATCCTTTTTATAGAGGAATTTCATTCTGTATTTCAATGAGAATGCCTATAAAATCTAAGGCGAAGTTTTATTTTTCGAATATGTGTAGCCGTCAGTATTGCCGTGGATTAGTTTCTTAACTGTATGATTATCTGTGTAATAAATGAAAAAAAAGAAGAAAAAAGAGAGGAAGAGGAGAGGCATGAGACGCACACCCAGATGTATGAAATGATTGGGGCCTCACCAGTCTCACCTTGGGAACGAACACCAGGCAGAGGGTGGTCGTCGAACAGAACATTATAAAAATTGAGATGATGACAAAGGCCGCATCTTGTTGCTCCCTCAGCACAAAGGAGAGTGCGGCCCCGATCACGCACATGATCACCACGTTGTATACACTCATGCCGATGTACTTGGAATCATTGAGGGCGGGGATGCTCACGTGACGTGTCTCCCACGCTAAGAAACAACCAAAAGCCTGCAAACAATTTACAAGAAGGAATGGATTTGTTTTAAAACATATAACATAAAACAGATAAATAAACATATAAAGATATAATAGCATTAAAAAGAAACTTTAAAATATTACATTATTTGAGACAAAAATGCGTGAAATTAATTTGAGGGATTTTGTTTAACGTATACCAAAATATATAGCATAAAATACAGGGGTTTATTTTATTACCGTCTCTGAAAATCAGACCTAATTTTGGGTTTACGACTGCTAATGCTCAATTTCGTAGTCTTGTAATTTTGAAACCTATCTAGATGACAAGGGAACTCCTGGATCAAGTATTAGGAGAAATTTACATTCATGGAGGACTTTTTGATGGAACTATCCCGCAATTACGTTACATTGCGGAAATCCACGAAAAACTCCCACAGTTAGCGAGACGACAAGGGGACTTTAACTCATGATCAGTCTACCACTGAGAATATTTTACGTCAGCACTGTGGTCGGTGCGAGCCTCGTGCGGAATTCGTATCGACCAGCCATCGCTGGGATTCAAACCCGGTTCACCATACTGTAAGGTGAAAGATCTATCCCTTGAGCCCCCGCATCTCTAAAAATACAGGGGTTGGGCAAAATCATGGAAACACTTCTATCATAGCTCTATACAAACAATCTTTCATTTCTCAGCAAATCTTTTGGAGGATTTTACATGGCAAATTTGTTGACACAACTTGAAAGATCATGCTTGGAGCTTTTGAATATGAGGTCATTTTTATCCATGCAAAATTTGAATATACCCAAACGAGGGGAGGAAGTAAATGACTTTTTCTAGATTTAAGTCTGGAATTCTGAAATTAGTTTATAAGATTGCAACATTTCTAGTAGAATTCTTTTTTAATTCTAGCATTTTTTAAAAATAGCATTAAAGAAGGAAGTAAACTTTGAACTTCTTACGCTTATTTGGGTTGATGCAAAGTTTGCAAGGGTAAAAAGGACACTATTTCCAGGAACCGCGGGTAAGAATTTCAAATACTTAGCCCGTAAATTAGCTAAATATCAATATTATTCACCTATTTTCGAAAGTCTTAGACAAATGCAGATCTTAGCAATTTTTTATGATACATTTTTTCCCAGAGAAACTATTTTATGGCAGTTTGTTTCAAGCTTACATTATTTGTACCTAATTCTTATTGGTTATGCGGAAATTACTGTAATCGAATAAAAAATTCATTTTGACGTAATTTTAAGGATTGAGTTAAATATGTATTTTTCTCTCAGTGGAAAAACTCATTCACTAATACTTTCGCCAAAATTTTATCGCATTTGGCGAGGTGGCGTATGCTTAGCATGGACCTTGCATTTCTGAAAACTTCAAGCATGATCTTTCAAGTTGTGCCTACAGTTTCACCATGTAAAATTTTCAAAAATGCTGGCTGCGAAAAGAGTTATTGGTTTAATAGAGAAGTATAAAAGTGATTCAATATATTTCTTCTATCTCTGCAGTTGCTAGTGAAACACTTCAACAAAAAAGAAAATAAATGAAAGAGGAATGAAATAAAAACAAATGACGCAGAAAACTAATATATATATATATATATATATGTAATTTTACCTGTTTCACTGCGTCAATGGAAGAAAGGGTTATAAGTTAGTNTTTAAATGTTACGTAACGCCAGGATTAAATATTTTGTTGTTTTGAGAAATACGCTGCAGGGAGGCAGATACTCGTAAATGAAGTTACATGTACATACAATTAATTATATTGAATTATATTAAGTATATTAAACTTATTACTGTTAATGTATATGGAATGGTTAAACTTTTTCCATCAAAAATAAAATTCCGAAACATTAAAACAATGACAAAACCATATTCATAATTGTAAAATCTATAAGGTGCGTGAGTAATTAAATTGCAATTATTGACAAAACCATCCAAACAAAAATAACAACTGAGCGGTATTTAAAAAAAAAGTTTGTGCCATTTTATCATAATAGATTATTTCCTATATCTGCACTCATGCAAACTCTTAAAATTATTAATAAAGTATCAGATAAATAGATTGAAAATAAGCGTGATTGATACTTAAATACTTTTCAGCAGCAAACAAACTTAACTATTCCATTAGAAGAAAAAAAATGGTTTTTGATCGAGGTAGAAGGATTAGGAATGACTACTGCAGACAACAGTCGTCAAAAATATCGTTTTCCGTTAATTACTTTCAGACCAAAAGACATAGTTGATGTATTGATTTTAGGCGTTTAAATATCATCTCTGTAGACGCATTCTATTCAAGAAATAATTCATTGTTTTTTGCAGGATTAGTGAAAACAAGTCAGGCTCTTAAAATGATATTTATATTCATTACCAGTAACACAAGAGAAATTGGATTGTTTTGGATAGATAACAGTTGCTAACAAAGCTTAAATATTTATTGTTTGTTTTATAGTTTTTCATGAAAAAAGCGCTTGAAGTAATAGCTAATTTGATATCTAATATTTACAAAAAATTTTTTTAACCCTAATTTGATTTTTTTACGCTAAAACATAAATTCTAAGCAGATAAAAATTGTGATGAATGCTCTCTTTTTGGTAGGAAAATCAGCCTTGATTGTTGAAATTTTCAAACAAAAAGTTTAATAATACATATTATAGTTTATTTCCTATCAAACGTCATAAAATTTATAAAATAGCTAAAAAGTTTTGGAATACACTAATAATTCAGATTTATATTATCGAAATTAATTGCTTCTGGACAAGTCTGGGGGGAAAAACTGTTCGTAATTTCATTATCAGGTTCTAAAATTAATGCAGTAAGTACAAAAAATTTCAGAATTAAATAAAAAAGAACAGAACTGAAGCACTACTAAATTTTATATATCTTTGTATTTATATATCTTTTCATTTAAGAAAGCATATTTAAAAATAAAATAAATAATAATAACTTAAATTTTACTTTATTTTATTAAATTAGAACTAAAAAATAATCATAAGTTACGATTATGAAAAATAATCAAAATGTTATGATTCATAAAATTTTAAAAATTATTGTTTTTCTTAATTTTTTAAAATTTATTTTCAAAAAATCCATTTTATCCTCCCATTAAAAATCCATCCTCCTACTCATTGGGGGCCCCAGGCTATGGCCTAATCTGGCCTAATGAGTAATCCAGCCCTGCCTTATACCATATTCAGCTAAAACAATCAAGTAACCATCAGAAAAATATGGTATTCAAACTGCTTACTGTGAGAAAATATGTTTATCAACTGCTTTCACCTGAGATAGTTATTAAAGAATCAGAATTTTATCCGTGCAAATCATTCCCACTTTATGTCACTTAGTTCATTGAAGCTGAGTACATATTATAGCTGAGAGGGTTAATGTTTCAGTCTAGTGGCAGGTTGAACTAGTGTTCGAATGCCAGCGTTGACACCACAGTATTTCTTCCATTTCTTCAAATGAGCATTATCTTGCACTCCCCAGTTGATGACCCTGGACTACAGAAACGTGAAACTCTCCTTCCTGCATAACAACATCTCAGAACTGCTTAACACAAAAATATTGTATATCTCATCTCTAACGATAGGTGACTCCTTTACATAAACTAATTAAGCCACAAGCTTGTCAAAAAACAACCCAACAACTTAACATCAATGACCGTCTCCTTACGATAAGCTTTAACTTAATCTAACTCCAGTGTCCAGTTTAATTTAATTTTTCTGGATTTTGAACTATGCTTGCAGCTAAATACAAAACCTTATAGTTCTGCACACGTGGCTCTTTAAGCGTGTCAGTTGTAAATGGTTCCAATTCTGTGCATGTAAAGGAATGTTCCTGACCAAAAGCTTTCTGCTAATTGGATGGAATGTCGTAATTTTAGAATTGAAACTTAAATAAAACATGTTTTTATTTATTCATTCTTTGTATTTATTTTTTATCAAGGCAGGGAGCAAGATTCATATCTAGTATTTTATAAAATACTATTCCTAGCCTCATACAAACTATAAATAAGGAACTATACTAGAGATGCTTATTTTAGTAAATTTTTATATTTATACACTTTTACGAATAAACAAATATTTTATGTTTTCTCTTCAATAGATTTATCTCGTTTCCTAGCATTAAAAATAAAGAAAATATAAGCGCATACAACCCTTATTTATTTATTTTTCCAAAAAGCAAATTTTAAATAAAATTACGAAATGCTGAAAAATTTATCATTAAATAATAAAATTAAATGAAATATAGTAATTCATTTAAAAACAATTCACACAAAGTATCAAAATTAAATTAATTAAAATATCACGAAATAATTTGTGCATTAAAAGTTACTTAAAAGGTTTTAGACAGAAAAAATAGTTAAAAAAGTACGCACATTTTTACAACAAATATAACATCATAGAGCATCGATCATAAAAGCTGACAAATCTATGCATCTAATAAAAAACATAGCACAAAATTCGTGAATAGACTTTTTAATTGAGTCATTCACTTCACTTGTACAAGAAATATTTCTATAACTTTGACGTCGATAGTTCGTCGTGATATACTCTTTAATTTTTCAATTATAATTATTATTATATAAATTCTAGTAGTTGTTATAAGAATTGTAATACTTTTAATTGCAATAAATGTAATTGTATTAATTGTTGTAATATTTCTAATAATGTTATAAGAATTGTAATTTTAATAATTGTAATTGCAATAATCGTAATTGTAGCAATTGTACTGCAATAATTTTAATTGCAATAATTGTGATAAGAATTGTAATAATTGTTTTGGAAATTGTAATAATGGTAACTGATATATTGATTTACTTTTTTTATTTTTTTTCATTTTATTTCCAATGAGCTGCATTATCGGTCGTGCCGATGAGCAGACCTAGTGCTTTCTCCAGAGCTGGTATCCACTCTTTCAGGACCACCACAATGGGTGAGATACCGTTGGTCATGTTAATTTGGACGTCTAGTTTCTGCCACACTAGATGGCAGCACCGAGACTCTAGTTGGATGCTAAAGTGCACTAGGAATTTAATTTTGCCGAAATGCCAAGAGTATGTTGGTTTACTTATTTACAAAAATTGTAATTTTTAATTTTCATGTTCTTGTAATAATTATAATTAGAATTTTTAGAGTGGTAATCACTCATTTATTATTTTTTGAACAAAGTTTTCTTCAGCTATTTGAATTATATAGTTCGTAACATCTAATAAATAGGTAGGTGCACTTACGGTATGGAAATTTATGTTCAAGTCGATAGATGCAAACTATTTAATTAAGTTATTGACTTCGCCTATTACGTAATTAGTTCTCCCCGTGACACAATTGTGATGACATTAGAGCAAAATGTTACAGAGTTCTCGCAGAAAGAAAATTCAGCTCAAAATTTACCGAAGCTGATGCTGCAAAAATAATTTTTAAAAGACGTTTTTCAGCAAAATTGTTTTCGAAAATGTTCACCACGATTCATCTTCTGTTATTGTAAATTGGTTACATATCTATTGAATAAAAGTATCTTGCAGAAAGATATTAGTGCAAGAGATATTTGTCTCGAAAAGCCAGTAAAACTCTGCTACAAGGATATTAGTTCTATGATTCTGATGCAAACAGTTCGTCGTAATTTAATTATGAATACTGTAATTGTAATATTATGGTGATTTTAATAATCATTATTGTAATAACTACGAATAATTGATTTCTGCAATTATAATAATTGTAATCATAATAATTGATTTTTGCGTCATCGCAATATTTTTTTTTGTAATTATAATAAGTGATTTCCACAACTGTAATAATCGCAATTTAAATAATTGATTTTTGTTACTTTAACAGTTCATTTTATTATATTTTTCAGTATTGGGTATTTCGTGTGAAATAATTAGTGAAATCTAAAATATTCATACTTGAAATGATAGAATAAAGCGCGAAACTAATTTATTTCAATGTTCTCGTTAACAGATGCGAGCTATTTAATTGAGTCATTCACTTATCCCGTTTCGGAATAGTTCTACGATTTCGATGTCGACAGTTCGCCGTGATCTGATCATGATTTCTGTCCATGAAAGTGGGTGTACGTGTCTAATGAGCACCTTATTTCCCCGAAGTAGAAGGAGAACATCCCCCCGTGTCTTCTCAAGACGAGCATTTTCATCTGCTTTTCAAGAGAGTTTTAGAAAATTCCAGGAGAAAGCAATATGGAGGCTTTGTAATGAAAACTTTTACAAATCGCTTTCCGGATCTATATATGAAATATGGAATCTATTTATGTCAAGGGGTTCGATAAGTAAGTTTTACATAGACTTAGAAAGATTCTTGTATTGTGTTCTACACTAAATTATATTTTAAAAAATGGTGCATTATTTAACCCTCGGTAAATTCTTAATTTTAAGTTATTAAGTTGTTTAAATATTAAATATAATCTTAAGGTTCGAATAGCGAGCGTAAAAACCTATAATCAGTTTTATGAGAAGCAAAGGTTGAATGAAAAATATTTTTTTTTACCTCGAAATATTCTATCTCTGAAATCCTTTAAAAATGTAAAAAACTCTGTCTTAACTCCATTTATTCACCCGAGTATAACATGTGGATATTATTTATTATTAAGTTCTTAATAATTTACTTTTGTGTTCGTAATCATGGTATATTACAATCAAAATTGTAACCATTCTCTTAATATCAATAGCTGATATAGATGATTTGTTTAACGACAATGCAAGTCTTGGATTGATGCATGCAACATTTATTGTGATATCATTGCTAAAGACAGTGTATTGTACGCAAGCATTTTCAGTCATTCTGCGCATAGTCATATAAACATAGTCATAGACATTCAGATATTAATTCAATCTCTGAGATGGATGATAATAAAAGTTGAAACTATTTACTGCTATGGAAAGTTGAATTTACAGTGATTAAAATCAAAAAATGAGTTGATATCAGGAATGAAAATTCAGATCCTTTTTCTGAGAAACTAGAACACTCAAATTTCAATTAGAGCTCTAAAGTTTCAATCGATTCCTGAGTGCTGTAATAAGAATTTATATCCTAATACAATTTATCGTCTGTCAAAAAAATTTAGACCACTTTTAACACTAGTAAGAATGAGTTGGAGGTTCGTGTGAGCTGACAGTTCTAGTTACAATTTTTTTCTTCTTAATGTTCCAAGCAAAATGTATCCCCCCTTTTACCTCTAATCAAACTTCTAAACACTTCTCAACAAAACTGTCTACTAGACACAAAACTAAAAAGATTAAAACAAAAAAATTAAAAGCTTTATTTTTAAATAGATTAAAAAGTACCGATTTTGTCACACACACACAAAAAAAAAAAAAAAAAAAAAAAAAAAAAAAAAAAAAAANAAAAAAAAAAAAAAAAAAAAAACAACAGAGAATGAATTTCGTTGGAACCTTTTATCACCATCAAAAATTTCCTACACGTCTTCCAAAACTGGTGCGTAAGTTGCGCCGAAAATAGAACCATTTTAATTTTCTAATTCTGTTGAAAGAATATATTTTCGCATTTTTTTTATTTTATGTCATTATTATACACATTTCGCAGTTAATGCAGAACATGTCAAACACAGCTACTGTTAATAAGAGGTTTTATAATTCTTTAGATATTAATATTTCTTTCATAACTGAAACAAATATTTTTACTCATAGAAAATTAAAAATCTGAAGAAAAATAAATCTAATGATTCAAATAAATAAATTTAAAAAAATTTTTTTAAAAAATATTTGTCCACTTTTACGTTTTTTAATGGGAGTAAGTTTTAATTAAATATTTCGATGGATTTCCTGAAATCTAACTAAAGATTTTTTTTTAGTTTCCTGAGTTAAATCTTTGTTTCCACACTTACCATGAGAAGACCTTTTGTAAACATAGATCGATTCTAAGAAAATTATAATGTTGATACTTTGACAGATTCAAATAAATAAATTCAAAAAAGATTCAAATAAATAAATAAATAAAATTCTCTAAATAGTTGTCTCTTTTACATTTTTAATACGACAAAGTTTCCCTTAAATCCTTCCATGGATTACCTGAAATCTAACTAAATATTTTTTTTAGTTTTCTGAGTTAAATCTTTCTTTCCACACTTACCATGAGAAGACCTTTGTAAACATAGATCGATTCTAAGAAAATTATCATGCTGTTACTTTGACAAATTCAAATAAATAAATTCAAAAACAATATTCAAATAAATACTATTTTCTAAATAGTTGTCTCTTTCACATTTTTTAATACGAGAAAGTTTCAATTAAATCCTTCTATGGATTTCCTGAAATCTTACAAAAAGAATTTTTTAAGTTTTCTGAGATAAATCTTTGTTTCCACACTTACCATGAGAAGAGCTTTGTAAGCATAAACCGATCCTAAGAAAATTGTCATGTTGTTACTTTGACAGATTCAAATAAATAAATTCAAAAATNTAACGGTCCAAGCAAAATGTATCCCCCCTTTTACCTCTATAATCAAACTTTTAAACACTTCTCAACAAAACTGTCTGCTAGATACAAATCTAAAAAGATTAAAACAAAAAAATTAAAAGCTTCGTTTTTAAATGGATTAAAAAGTACCGATTTTGTCACACAAAAATTAAAAAAAAAAACAAAGAATGACTTTCGTTGGAACCTTTTATCACCATCAAAAATTTCCTCCACGTCTTTCCAAACTGGTGCGTAAGTTGCGCCGAAAATAGAACCATTTTAATTTTCTAATTCTGTTGAAAGAATATATTTTTCTTATTTTTTACTTCATGTTATTATTATACACATTTTGCAGTTAATGCAGAACATGTCAAACATAGCTACTGTTAATAAGAGGTTTTATAATTATTCAGATATTAATATTTCTTTCATAACTAAAAGAAATATTTTTACTCATAGAAAATTTAAAATCTGAAAGAGAATAAATCTAATAATTCAAATAAATGAATAAAATTTTTTTTTTTAAATATTTGTCCACTTTTACGCTTTTTTAATTGGAGTAAGTTTCAATTGAATATTTCTATCTATTTCCTGAAATCTAACTAAAGATTTTTTTTAAATTTCTTGAGTTAAATCTTTGTTTCCACACTTACCATGAGAAGACCTTTTGTAAACATCGATCAATTCTAAGAAAATTATACTGTTCTTACTTTGATAGATTCAAATAAATAAATTCAAAAAAGATTCAAATAAATAAATAAATAAAATTCTCTAAATAGTTGTCTCTTTTACATTTTTAATACGACAAAGTTTCCCTTAAATCCTTCCATGGATTACCTGAAATCTAACTAAATATTTTTTTTAGTTTTCTGAGTTAAATCTTTCTTTCCACACTTACCATGAGAAGACCTTTGTAAACATAGATCGATTCTAAGAAAATTATCATGCTGTTACTTTGACAAATTCAAATAAATAAATTCAAAAACAATATTCAAATAAATACTATTTTCTAAATAGTTGTCTCTTTCACATTTTTTAATACGAGAAAGTTTCAATTAAATCCTTCTATGGATTTCCTGAAATCTTACAAAAAGAATTTTTTAAGTTTTCTGAGATAAATCTTTGTTTCCACACTTACCATGAGAAGAGCTTTGTAAGCATAAACCGATCCTAAGAAAATTGTCATGTTGTTACTTTGACAGATTCAAATAAATAAATTCAAAAATAGATTCAAATAAACAAATTCAAAAACAGATTCAAATGAATAAATAAATAAAATATTCTACATAGTTGTCTCTTTTACATTCTTTAATACGAGAAAGTTTCTATTAAATCCTTCCATGGATTTTCTGAAATCTAACTAAAAGATTTTTTTAAAGTTTTCTGAATTAAATCTTTGTTTCCACACTTACCATGAGAAGACCTTTGTAAGCATAAATCGATCCTAAGAAAATTGTCATGTTGTTACTTTGACAGAACTCGAGCTCTGGTATGATCTCGATGTCTTCATTTTCTGGAGAAGGCTGAAATGGATTTATAATTCTGTGTAATCATGATTATACATTTACATTCCAAGTGAATTTTTTTTCTTCATAATATTGTATGTACAAGAGCTGCTCAAACAAAACAAGGTCATGGTGATAACTTCAGAAACACCTATGTCACCACTTTGGCTTATAATGAAATTTAAAAGGAATAGCATTACGGATTAACCAGGTCATATGAGGCATTTAAAGTGATGTAAATTCGTGTTACAATTCGTGGATAATTCGTGGATAAATCAATGTAATTCGTGGATAAATCAAAAACAGATTAGCACACAGAAGTACAATACTGTAGCTGTGAATGACCAAGATTGGGGATCGTTGACTTCCTTCGGTGAATGTTGACAACCACATAGTCGTTTTGGTAAATGTCCGAAATATATACTAGGTCTAGTTAAGTGCCACTGCTTGATATACCTTTACTCAGAATGCCCTACATCAATTGTATTCTTAGATCAATGTTACTCCTAATCTATCTTCAGCAGATATTATGATATCGAATAAATATAATAATATCAATGAATCGAATAAGTATATCGAATAAGTATAATAATATATCGAATAAGTATAATAATATCAACGAATAAATTAATATCAAATCAGATATAACAAATATTTCGGGCACTAAACAAATCAACTATGTGATTGTTGACATTCACCGGTGCAAGTGGACATTCTCAAGTTTTTGACCATTCAAGGAAACAACACTATTTTAACTGATTGCATAATTCGTTTATTCAAACATGGAGTTGTTAGAGGAACTGCAATCGACGTGACGACTGGATGTCACCACTGATGACTAGCCTGTCGCCGAAGTCGGCGGATCGGTGACTGATTTAGGTATTTAGAAAGTTTAAAATATCTGACAAGGCACCGGTGATTTTCCTTATTCGCCATCATACTTTTAGCATCTGGCATTCTAAAGCTTGTTTACCTCCATAGTTTTCTTGTGTTTGTTGCATTTCTCTTTTGTCATTAATTTGAATTTCTTCAAATTTTTAAAATATGGCTTTAATGAAAAAAAAGTTTTCAATTTCCGAATTAGAAATGATAATTGAACATTAGAGAAGTGAGTTCTATTTTGTTATTATTAATTTTAAAAGTTATAAAACTATTATGATAAGTTGTAATAACTTGAGTTTTCAAAACTTTTGGTCAGTTGACGTAAAATCGCTGAACTAGCTGATAAAACGCAAGCGTCTTCGTTATCCATTTAAGCTTCATAAAAACAACTAAAAACGTCTTCACTCTTCACGTTTGCAGTGATGCAGCTATAGATAGCTTATTAAGTCAGGCTATACATGGGAGGTTTGCTTGATTTTCCTCTACACTTCATGCAAATGCGGGTTAATTCCATCAAAAAGTCCTCCAAGAAAGCAAATTTCCCATACTACTTGATCTTGATCCAGGAGTTCCATTGTCTTCTGCATTGGGTTAAAAATTATAAGGCTACGGAGTTGAACATTAGTAGTCGTAAACCCAAAAAATTGTGTGCTTGGTGATCCTTGATGCTTGGGTGATCTTATACTGGTGTCTACACAAACATTTAGGCTTCTAGTTCTAGACTAAACTGGGCTAAATGCAGCCTCGGTTACGGCAATAAGTGTCCACGGTAATCAGTGCTGATTACGCTAGTCCGCTGGCATCTCTTAGTACGATTCACTCACTTTAAATGCTCTCATACACATTGGTTAATCCGTTAGATAAAGTCTGTAATCAATTCCTCTTTCCACCCTTTATTACTCTAAATGTTAGCACTGTTACTACTACCACAAGCCTGAGGTTAGCACACTTGGTCAATTTTTTTTATTTGAGCAACTCTTATATTTGTATAAAAAAAGTATGAGTTTTATATTAGTGGATAGTCTAAATATTTAAACAGTGAAAAATAATGAAAAAATTGGTTTAAAATGTACATGCCTTTTGTAAAACAATGAATTATTTAAAATATTATTTTTAATTATTCGTAAAAAGTATGCTAGGGCAATTTTATAAAGAAATGACCAACGTATTGTTCTAGTTGTTCACAGCCGTAATGAAATTAATACAAGCGAGTTAATATTTGAAATTGAACAGCTATTTACATTTTGAGCTGCATCCTTAGGTGACTTTTTCCTTTGACTGGTAAATGAAACTACTTATAAAATCCATTATTGAGTATCAAAAAACATCAACCTTCAATTATCGACTTATTTTTAAATTAAATATCTTTGATGGTTTGGCATAATAATCAACTTAAATTGACTACTAAACAAGCTTATTATTGTAACAGTTTCGTAATATTTACTTTATTTCACATAAAAGCGTTACTAGTTTATTTAATTTTTTTCTTATACTCGATATATTGCTTTTTATTTTCAATAAAAATCAATCGCTAAGTACCACCGATAGTGCTCTCGTTTTAAGTTTTTTGACTTATCGATTAAGGCGTTTGAAAACGATTTTTAACGCCAATTACAATGCCTATATCATATTTACTTTATATTATGAGCAAAAATAAACTTTGATGTGCTCCTTTTCCAAACCAAATATTTCAGGTGATTTCAATTTCGAAATATTATTTTTTCAATAAAGTGTGATTATTTGGTTAAAATAAACAAAATTCAAATATACAAATAAATTGTTTCAAATGAGCAAATATAAAACTTAATTAAAACTTTTAAGCTAAGAAATACGGAATATATTTTCAAGTTATTATAATTTTTTAATACTTTTAAATCCACTAATAATAGCTATTTTCAATAAAGTTTTATTTTAAAAAAAAGTTTTAGTTTGAGGACATACAATCAACTTCAAATGCGGGAAAAATTTAAATTTTTTTTCCTTAATCCAAAACATTGTTAAATAAATGATGAATTCAGAATCCATAAAATACATTTTTTATCCATCCAAAGATTCGCCAACTTTATTCTTTTATCTTCCATAACGAACGCGATTCTTTTTATTTCTTTTTGCCATATCAGAAACATAAGTTTGTCTCAAGTATGGGACTTTTACTTTACGGAGATCTGTTTTCTTTTCTACTTAAGATAGGGTTTCCATTTCTTGAAGAGGATTATATTTCCACTTTGTTTAATCTGCTTGAGAGGAACGTTACTGAATTTTCCCTTTCCATCATATATATGCTCTATAATAATGATTGCCAAAAGTATTATATAATTTTCAATATTTATTTCCAGACAGTTCTTTTTTATTATTTTTGTTGAAATGATTTATTAAATGCCATAAGTAATCATATAAAATAACATATTGTAACGGTGATATTTTATAAAATTTTTTAAATTTCCTTTTCTTTTGAAAATAATTGTAAATTGTGTAGTAATTGGTGAAAAAAATATCACTCATTTTTGTTATACAGTGCGAATTACAAAAAAAAAGAGAATGTTTTTCAAACACAAATTTTAAATGGGCAAAAACCTTGCCGAACATATCGAATTGAACGCCAAATTTAAAAATGCTTAGCCCTTCCTAAGTTTGAGCCTCATTTTTAGGCCGAAGGAGAAAAATTATTTTTATTATAAGCATAAAAAACAGATCTAAAACTCAGCGATACAAAATGTGTCATTAAAACTATTCCATGCTCTACAATAATAATTGCCAAAAATATTAAAATGTTTTCATTATTTATTTCGATACAGTTTTTTATTATTTTCGTTGAAATGATTTATTGCACGCCATGAGTAATCATATAAAATAATATATTGTGACGGTAATATTTTTTAATTTTCCATTTCTTCTGTAAATAAATGTAAATTGCATGGTTACTGATGGAAAAAAAACTCATTTTTGTTATACATTTTTGTTATGCTTGTTTATATAAAAAAAAATCTAATATTCACCTGTCTAAAATTTGTCAATAAAACTATTTTATGGGAAATGTAACATTCAGGTATCCCTACAAGTTCAATCCCACTTGAAAACTCCTTAAATAATTCGGATTCTGCATAAACAACCCGACTTATTGGTTTAGTAGTAAATTTGAATCATTCGTAACTATAAATTCCAACTACGGTTTTCCAGTTAATTTCAGAAAATTAACTATGTTACACCTCATTTTTTTTACTGTTGCGTCGCATTTTAACGTTTGCATTTTTGAATTTGCCTCTTTTAAAATAATAATATGAAGAGCTTGTCTGTGTGTCTCTCTTTTAATTCCAGAATCACTTGTTCTATCTTCCTGAAGTTTGGATGGTGACTGAAAAGTTCAAATTTAGCCCACGATCCTAACCCCCTTCGCCAATGACATCAATGATGCTTAGTTAATTTTGGTAAGAAGTATTAACTGAAATAAAAAAAAAACTACGCACTCTAATTGCTATAAACAAAAATTAAAAGAAAAATGGCCCTAATGTAAAAAATTGCAATATTTTCATTGACGTCAATGATGTTTAATTAATTATTGCAATAACTGAATAAATTAACCGAAATAAAAAAAACTCTAATTGCTATATGACAAAATTAATATAAAAATAGCACTAATTCGTTTAGGAGAAAAGAAAAAATTCATCATATTATTACTGACGCCAATAATGCGTCATTAATTTCGGTTACAGGTAGTACTGATTTTACGGTAATAAGTGTAGCTTTAATGGGTACCAAAATTAGAAATGTAGGTAAATTATAATTTATTAGTACATTTGATTAGCATGAAAACTACATCAATACTAAAAAATTTTGATATAGATTCTGTGAAAAGAGATTTATTACTGTCCCTCTCGAGGTCATAGGGGATAAGCACCGGAAAAAAAATTGGCGATTATGATAATTTTTGACTGCCAAGAGCTGTCATGGCACAACAGCCTCATTCCAAAAAATTCTACATGCAGAATATCTTCATTTATATGGGATGAACTACTGAAGACCTGTTTAGCTTCATCTAATAAAGTAAAGTTACCGGGAGCGACTAAATATGATATTAAATTTAAAAAATTTAATTATTTTAACTTTACTAAAGGTGTTGATACAAGTATATCAATTTT